GAAGTGGGGCCCGTCGGGTGTGGGGCTCCTGGGGCCGGGGGGGGGGTGGGGGTGGTTGGCGAGAGCCTTTCCCCAGCCAGGCCGCCCTCTGCAGGGCCCGCGGCCCGACCCGGCGGTGCTCGGGGGGGGGGCGGCAGGGGTGCCCCTCCCTCCCTCCCGGGAGGACTGCCCCAACCCCCTCGGTCAGTCGAACTGCAGCCCTGCATGGTTGGATGGCAGCTGAGTTGTTCGTTTCCCAGCTGTCCTGCAAGCAAGAAGCGCCTGGCTGGAATGGGGCTCTCCCCCCCGACTCCTGCTGCTCAGGAGCCGTGGGCGATGGGGGCAGGCCGGCCGGCAGGCTGTGGCCTTGCAGACCCCTGTGTTGGGAGCCTTCCTGGCACACCTGGCCTGCTGGAAGTTCCCTGCGAAGAGATGGAGCAAGCGGCGGTGGGGGAACAGCAGTGCGAGGCGGCTCGCCGGAAGCTCCGGGAGATTGAGGACAGGTAAGCCCAGAGTACTTTCCTGCTCAGAGGCTCTCTGCGGAACCACGACTTAGTGTGTGTGTGTGGGGGGGTGCACACACAACTTTTTGTAGCCCCTTTTGCATGGCTATGAGCAGAGCGTGAAGCCGGTTCTGAGGTCACAGGGCTTGCAAGAAAGGATAAGTCCCATGACGTTTGCCTGCCTTTGCATGACCTCTCTGTTTCTCCCAGACACCATCTTGAGAAACAGCAAAATGCTTTCTGACTTTGCTCCTGGGGTGGGGGAAGCTGCCCTGGAGCCGCTACCCACAGGTGGTGTTTGTGTAAGTGCCCTGGTGGTAAGCCTGTCATCTCCCTGCCCTTGCAGAATCACAGACGAAGACGAAGAAGACGGGCTGGTGGGGGAGGAGCCTGTTGGCAGCCTGCCCACTCTCGTCCTGTCCGACACCCTTAAAGCAGGGCTGAAGAGGGATTATGCTGGAGACCTGACGAAGAAAATAATAGAGTCCATGTAAGTTTGTGACCCACAGATCAAAGGGGCCTGCTGGGAAGGGGCTAAGGCAGGACTTGTGGTCCTGAGGAGGCAGAACAGGACCGTTGATTCTGGATTAGCGCCCCGGTTGCTGTGGTGGACAGGAGGGCGTACAGGCGCACGGGGTGAGGCACTGGGGATGATGAAGACTTCTGACTGGCTTGCAAAGTGGTAGAACTAAAACAAGGGGAGCTGTGCTTCCTGTCCGTGTGGGGAGGGGGGAGGCTGTGACATATCAGCCCTTGGAATTGCCTTGATGAAGCCACAAGCCCCTCCCCACAGCTGAACGTTTTGACTCAAGTGCTCCTTTCCACCCAGGAGTCGTCCCTCCATGGAGCTAGTAGTCTGGAAGCCTCTCCCTGAATTCCTCAACAAAAAAGCAAAGTCTGTTTCTGTTAAAGACTACAAGCCCGTGGCAGAAACGTGCCCCACAAAATCAGCAACCCTTGAAGCTGCTTTCAGCCTCCAGACAGGAAAGTTCTCTGAGTCGCAGCAAGCAGAGATGCCTTCACCTTTCTACAGCGCTGTGGAACCTGCTGGGTGCTCAGAAGAGGAGATGGAGTTGTAGAAACGGGGGCAGCTTGCTTATATTTCTTCACCCTTTGGATGTGTGGGTATTAGATGGTGTAGAGGAGAGGGACGTGTATTTTTAAGGTGACGGTCAGAAGTATGAGATGGCTTCAGGCCTAGGAAATGGGAAAAAGTCATTTTATACTCCAAGAAAACAAGCTTGTTTTTAAACAAGAGAGTCAGAAATGTTGGTTTGTCTGGCTCATTGCTAATTTGTAGAGTAAAATTCAAGGATTTGGGCCCTCCTGTATGCCTCATGAGCTATCAGCATTGTTCAGTGCTGATCCCCACGGAAGAAGGGCTGCCAGCTGATTTAGAAGGGGATACAGGATTGTGAGATTAACTTGCCTTTGGACAGATGATGTCCGTGTGCGTACTTCTTGCCATCCCTGGAGCTCCCTGGAGCCTTCAAGCATGGGGTTAGGTAGCAAAGGGGCTTGATCGACTGGAACTTATTTTTGGTCCACAGAACATCTGCTTCCTTTCCTCTAGAGGGCTGCGGTCTCATTGGAGATCCACTTGTGAGTATTCTCAGTAGGATTCTGATAATATGTGAATGAGCAACTTGGAAAAGAAATTTCTCCAAGTGCTTTTTCAGCCTGTCATGTCATTTAGCCTCCTGCAGATTTTGCCTCTACAGACCCAGACATGATTGCTGACTTAAAGCCATCTCCACTGAGATTCCAAAAACAGCTGATCTGTCAGGCTGCTTAAGGCACTGTCACAAATGCCAGTTTTCTGGATCGAGATGTCAAAACAAATTTCCTCGGGTGCCAGAAAACCACAGAGTTAACTTTACACAATGCCAGCAATCTGGATAGTGGCTGTAGGGAAGCCACCACTTGGTCACTTCCTGGAGTGAGATGCTAGAATCTTCTGCTTCGTTTGCCTTTGTGTTCCGTTGCCCCATTTGTTTTTTTTTTAATTTTTAAAAAAATTCTGTTATCAGCACAGGTGAGCCTCTGTGGGCTAATATGCAAACGGCATTTCTATTTTGATAGTGGATTAAATATTAACACTTTGCATATGTCTGAAATAAGCTTTTCATGTAACATTTATTTGTTAGGCCTTGATTTCTGTGCACAGCTGTCTTGCTTTTAAATAGTTTTGTCTGCCGCATCCCTGTCAGCTGAAGAGGCGCTTGCAGCTTCTCTCTGGCCGGAGTCCTGGCATCAGACCTCTGTAGGGAGAGGCCAAGTTGCTCACTGTGGGGAAGGGTGCCCTGTGCACTTGCCTGGAAATGTAGCTGGCTCAGGTATCCTCAGGCAAGTAAAAGGAAGCTGCTTGTTCTCCCCAGAGGTGCATCGGGGTCCATGGGTGATGTGTGAGAGCGCCTCTCTTAGCCCATGTCCCTCGACAACTCTGAATTTGCCTAATCCGGGACTGCCTTGCCAAAGTCCTGTTTCTTATGGTTAGTTCACAGCCCTCTGAATCCTGATTGAGGGGAGGGGACACAGAAAGTGCTGTTTCCTGACAAACCCACCATCCCTGTTTTTGCCACTGCACAGCTGCAGCTAGGTAACTGGCTGGGCACGAGTTCACAAGAAATGTTGAAGGTTCGCATATTTTTGTAAGCTTGTCTAAATCTTTCTAGAATGGATTCTTTTTGAGTTGGGGCCTGCAGAGTAATTTCTCTAGTTTTCTCTAGCCAGAGACTGAATTCTGTTTTGTGTGCCATGCAAGGAAAGTGGGGTGTTTCTGGCTTTTTTTGCTCTGAACCAAGACACATCTGATTTTGGTCTGTCTTGTGTTGGACCAAATTGTGACTTGTACATCCTTATTCTCAATACATCTTTGTAACATTTCTAGAGTGCTGTGTGTTGGTCTTGCAAGGGGGAGGAGGGACATAGGCTGCACAGGAACACACCTCACATGTTTGAGAGACAACCAAGCCCTGCTTCAATGACACCACTCTGAAGCTCAGCTGTTTTTAGCAGAGCTTTTGCCTGCCGGCTGGCTAACTCAGGGAGGACAGCTTCTAGTGCAGGAGACTATGATGTGTTTTGCCACCTTGTTACTGTTGCAGGACCTTCAGACCAATGAGTCACCCACCTCCTGTAAGACATGCTTAACCATAACCCAATGAAATGAGATCCTATCTGGAACAGCAGACAATCACTGATCATCTGATACCAGTAGCCCTTGAAGCCAAACCTTTTGCTACCACTGTTTCTATTGCATCTGGATGGGTAAAGCAAGGGAAGCCATTTTTGTGTGTTTGATCTTCAAGTGCCTGGTGTGCCAGACGGGGTGCAAACAGAACCTTTTAGTACTATTCACAGATGATTGAAGGGGAGATCTTCTAGGTAAAAGTAAAGAATGGGAACTGACAGGCCTATTGTTTCAGGCACTGGAGTAAGAGCTTCCAACAGTTTTGACTGCTTTAAAGTGCCATTGCTTAAACTGCTGAGACAAATTTGGTTTGCAGATGTTATCTGATGCAGTGGTGAAGGAAGGCTGGCTAGTCTTCTGCATTTCATATGCTTCTTGTGAAACCGAGAGGTTTCTTTCTGCTGCCCAGAGATCCTTCCCAACAACTGTGTAGGTCATTCTGGGTGGGTGCTTCTCCAGCTTCACTCCCTCCTGCACAACCATTGTGCAAGGTGTACCTTCCTTCTGATGACACCTGGGCTTTGGCCAATGCGTGAGAGTGCTGGACAGGATAGGCCACCGGCCTCATCCAGCACAGCTTCTCTTAGGTTTCATCCTGCTTGCATCACCTTCCCAGAAGCTGCAGTATACCCTGATGGAACTTTGCGTGTTAAACACCCCATAAAACCTTTTAACCCACTTTACAGCAAGAAATTTCCCCCTTCATTGCAAGCAACTACCACACACACAAAACGGGAAAGAAGTGCTCGGTGTTGCATTTAATGGCAGAGATTTGTAACTGTACAGCAGAAAAACAAGCTACTTAACATTTGTTTTTCTTCGACAAAACATCCCAGACAAATTTTATGTTTATTTACATGACTGAAAAAGACCCCTTGGGAGCACAGATTTCCACTCCTAACCGAGTCTGTTTTTCACAAGGAGATAGGCACAAACCGGGCAGGTACAAAAGGGACCAATACTTGTAAGTTATGCTGAAACACTTTGAGGAGGAATGTTCCCGGAAAGTAACCTTGCACTTTTGGCAGGAGAGGAGCCCACAGGCACTCAGACACTGATGAGCTGAGGAAAGAGTTCATTGGCAAAGGCCTCGTCCCACACGTAGTCTGTGCCCAGGGGAGAGGCCAGGTCACTGAAGGGGGAGGGGGAGCCCTCGTAACCCGAGTCGCTGGAGCCATCCATTGGGGACTGCTGCTGCTGCTGGGGGTCTGAGGAGAGCAGGTGTGACATCCCCAGCTCAGGTAAAAGGACGTCTGTGGGCTCTTCTTTCACAGACACCGGGGGTCCCCTGAGGAGGGCCGTCTCCGCGCGGAAAAGGATCTCACCCTCCACTGCCCCTGGCATACCGGGTGGGCTGGCCCCCTCTGGGGGAACCTGCAGGAGGAAGGGCTTGGTGTACTCGTGGTCAAAACGGATCAGTTCATTAATGGCTTCCAGCTTGGGCAGTGAGGGCCCCAGAGGGAAGCCAGCAGAGGTTGGTAGGGGACCTGTGTCTCCTGCACACTCCTCCTCCTCCTCCACTTGCTCCGGGCTGCCGTAGTGCAGAAACATGTCTGGGTCCAAGCTGTCCAGAATGCCCAAGAGGAGATCAGACTGGGAGAGAAGACAGACAGAAGAGCCCTGTGAGTGAGGGTGCTCCTGGGGGCCCTGCGGGGCGGGCCAGTGACTCTGCCCGCCAGCAGCCGGGGGGGGGGGGGGGGAGGCAGGCCAGAGGGGGGGCGACTGCTGGGCCTGTCCCTGCTGCAGAGGAACACGTAGTCTAAGTGCTGCAGACTCAGCGGACCCGGTCGCCGGCCCCAGGCCGAGCTCTACCTCCACCTCCTCTCCGTCGCTGCTGGCTGCCTCCTCCTCCTCCTCCTCCAGCTGCTGCTCCTCATACTCCTCCTCTCCGCGGGCGCCGTCCCACGACGCCTCCACCTGCCAGGGAGGGAGGGAGGGAGGGGGAGCCATGAGATT